CGATGGCCCCCATTCTCTTTATGACTTTTATTGGCGTGTATTTTGAAATTAATGCTAGAGATGAATTTGACAGCAAAGGGGCCATATTTCCACGTGGTGATAATACGCATGCGTAGAAAGCTCATTATCCGCACTCGGAAGTACTCGGATGTCTCCGCAGTCGACACTGACAGTATGGAGCTTGCGGAATGAGCCGAGGATTACAGATTGCATTTTCTGACAAATCAATAACGACGTTTGCAACAACTGACTACCTTGGGGGGGGGTTGAGAACAGACGAAAATCGGTGCGCGCGCAGGATGTCATCCATAAAAATAAAAAAAGTGTGGCCTTAATATAGTAATAAATTTGTAATAATTGGGGCCATGTGTGATTTGGTCACGAAAGGTTAAAAAAGTGGTTATTTCACAGTAGCCTACCCTCTTATATATTTATTCATTTATTTATTTTCCCGCAGGCCTGGAACCCAGCATCCGAGGAGCAGTGTTTTGACAGATGTCACCGTCTCGGGCAAACCAAGTACGTCATCATTACAAAGGTAAGATATGGGCCACATTCACAACAGCGAACTAACAGATCTCAGCAGATCAAATATGGCCAGCCCACTTAAATACTTGCCGCATAATCCCCTAATAGACACTGAATAGATTCCCCATGGGGATAACGCGCCAAGCATTCAAGTGGGTCAGCCATATTCGATTCATGGATCTGTTGGTTCCCCATTCTGAATGCATCCACAGCCAGTTACAATCAGGTACACAGGGATAGATGTACACTGGGATAGATGTACACTGGGATAAGTGTACACAGGGATAGGTGTACACAGGGATAGGTGTACACTGGGATAAGTGTACACAGGGATAGATGTACACTGGGATAAGTGTACACAGGGATAGATGTACACTGGGATAGATGTACACTGGGATAAGTGTACACAGGGATAGATGTACACTGGGATAAGTGTACACAGGGATAGATGTACACTGGGATAGATGTACACTGGGATAAGTGTACACAGGGATAGGTGTACACAGGGATAGGTGTACACAGGGATAGGTGTAAGGGATAGATGTACACAGGGATAGGTGTAAGGGATAGATGTACACAGGGATAGGTGTACACTGGGATAGGTGTACACAGGGATAGGAAAACGTCATCTCTCAATATGCTCAAGAATGACACAGAGCTAATATAAGTAGCTTTTATAATTACAGATAGTCACAAGCTTTTTCTGAGGAAAGGCAGAATTCTGCATTTTGTAATTAAATTATAACGCGCCAAGCATTCAAGTGGGTCAGCCATATTCGATTCAATGATAAATGTAATTCCTGAGGAATGACCTGGAGGAGTGGTATGAATTCCTCCCTACTTAGTCTGTTAAATAACAGAGCTAATCTCCCTTTAAGATTATAGAAAGGCAATGTGAAATTGGAGAGAGCCAAGGTTACCCCCTTGTGCTCAGAAGTAGAAGTAATTTACTGTCATTTACTACCATGTAACAATAATTTATATTGTAAGATAATAATTGAATATTCTCAATCTTTTAGAGTTGAAATAACACCATGGATTGAATAATTTTGATAAGGAAGTGTAAAATATCTGAACTACAGCCATGAAGTCCTCAGTCAAAGTCAGATCAATACTGACTCAGAATTTGTTTGATTCGTATGTTTCAATATGAAATTTATAGGGTTGAGATTACACCACGGATTCAATACTTTAGATAAATAACTGTAAAGAAATATCTGAACTGCAGCCGAAGTAGATCTGTCACAGCAAATATTAGTAACAGCATGGAGTCTAAGAATTTGTTTGATTCGTACGTTTCAGTACGTCGTGAAGGATTCTGTGGAAGAGCGCATGTTGGAGCTGCAGGAGAAGAAACGCAAACTGATGCAGGGAGCATTTGGAAAGAAGCAGACGGCCGAGCAACGAAGAGAAACACGCATTGCAGATATCAAAACTTTGTTTTCATAGAACCGGAAACTTAAGATAACTTTTCAAATTTGTCAAACAGAGCTGCAGAAAGTTTGGTTTTATTCTATCTTAAGTTCTGAGTTTTTAGGTGCATGGTCAAAAAAGAGATGTTTGGAAAGAACAATGCAAAAACATTTTGTACTGATGCAATTTAGCCTTCAGGTATATGGTGCTTGAGATAAAATTATGGTACATTCAGAATAATTTTCCATTATTTGAAACCATCTTGTCTGTAATGCAGTACCAAGATTAATTTTAGTCTCCAGTTTTATTTCTTCACACTATTAGAAACAAATTATTCCAAAGTTTCCTGCTTGTGTTTTTTTTTTATTTCAAGTAAATGAGAGAATATTTTAACTGGTTTGTATTTTTGAGAACATTTTTAGGTACAGCTGATTCAGTTTGAGAGGTGCTTGGTTGGTGACACAAGTTTATAAGATATTCAAAAGTGGGTGACACACAAAGTGCCAAAATTTTGTTCTAACATATATCTGCCTCCAATATTAGATGAGATTCAGTCATTTTATTTATAGCAATGTAAATTTTTTAATGTATTACCTGTTACCCATCAGAAATATTCTAAAATACATAACAGCAAATAGATAAAGAAATTTGCAACATTTTAATACTGTTTTTCATTGGAATCAAATCTCCTTTTACCCTTTTGAATTTGTCTGTCCAAAGTAATTTTAATTCAATTAAAACAAAACTGCTTCAGTTGATTCAGCATTTATAGAATTCTTTCTACTTTAATACTTTTAGATAATTGTATTTTTGCCATTCATAAAACATTAAGTAAAGAGCATATTTTTTCTAATTTGACTTGGTTAATTGAAATTTAGGGCATTTTATAAGCAAATGATTTGTAACAAAAACATAAAAAGACTGAAAAGATGGGAATAGTTATTGTACAGTGAGCGATGCCGGTGTCAGAAACAACAGAACTGCCATCTCAGTTCCAAAATCAAAAAGGTTGCTTTATTCAATTTCAATTAGATATTTATTACAAATTACTAACCAAAATAACAATTTTTCATGTTTATCTCTTTGAGACTGGGTTACCATACATAGATCAATCCATCTGGATTGATCTAACTCCCTGGGGAGTCTCACTGAATTGTTATCAACTAACTGGCTTAAATGTCTGTCACACCTACCAAATCAAAGATAATAGCCCCTTAACAGCTTTACTAGGCGCAACAGACAGTTATGCCAGCCAAGTTGACAGCAATTTAGTGAGACTCCCAAGGGAGATTGATCGATCAAAATATCTGTGGGAATGGTCCCTTACTTTCCATTGAGAAACTGTGGAAGATAACTTTCACATACACCTAATGAATGCCAGCACATCTTTTACTTTTGACTTCATTCAAGTATGTGTGAATAGAATATTTCCACAGTCACTCGGCTTTGAACCAAAATAGGCCTTATCATAATTAATCCCCTCAAATAAGTTTTCTTGCCTCAAAACTTTAGAAAATAAAATTTAATAATCTATTAACCAATAAAATTCTATATTATAAAAGTAAACCCCATTTTATTTAAAATCATGCTTAATGAAATTTACCCAAACATCAGTCATTTGATGATGTCATATTCTGTTTATATGAAACTACTCATTACAGTTATATACAAAGAAAAAAATTGATTAATAAAAAGTATAAAGTAAATTGCATAACATTCATTCCCTCCAGTAAATATAACTAGATGTTAATATAACATATATAAGACTGGCTTCCCATAGATTTAGATTGATCCATCTGGATTGACCTAACTCCCCAGGGGGTTAATGCTAAATTGCTGTCAGCTTCCGAGAGCCAAGAGCACAAGAAAGTTAATTACCCCCTTACAGTTTATAGTAGGCGGGACAGACTTTCAGCCAATTAACTTGACAGCAATCTAGTTAGACTCCCCAGGGGGATAGATTGATCTAAATATCTGTGGGAATGGTCTCTTATTTGCATTAATTGGCTATGTTCTTTATAATTAATACTCCTTCTGTTCTTTAAATACGTATATCTGAAAATATTAACAATGGTTAATCAATTGTGATTACATCCATCTTGTAATCATTACCTTATTTTAAGGTACAAATTTACGAATCAATTAAAATATGTTTAAGCATACATATATACTGTTTCTATTGATAAGTTGCCATTCAGTCAAAAAATAAGCACAAAAAATCATCTGTATGTTGTATGAAGCAACAAAATATATTTTACTTAATAAAAAAATGTTGATAATTTGTTTACCTATATATCCCTATCATACAATAAAACAAACTTATTAGTAACACTGAAGCTTTTTAAGTTGATAATGTTAAATTGAACCCTTTAATAAATGTATATTATGTTATTGACCAAGGATATTTACTATAATAATACTTACTTCCCATTCCATTAACATTTTTTATGATTCTTGTCACAAACAAACAAAAAAAATAATTAAATTTATATGTATAGACATACAGATCAAGATACGTGCAAAGATATATAGATAAATTATAAAAACATGCTTGTAATTACATTGATTAGTTCCTTAAGTTCTTAACAATAAGTTTATAATAAATTAACTACATTTGTAAACATTGTTAAGTAGTGTAACAAACATATAAAAGTTGTTTAAAAAAAACTTAATGTATATAATTCCTTAACATGACATTTAAACAAACAATATGGCATAGACAAATAACTAATTAAAATTTACTATATATATAATATATATATATAATATATATATTACAAACAAAAGCTAGGCACAACAAAACAAGTGCAGAAACAAACCTTATCATTAATGGCCATGTTATTTATAGAAGATAATTAAAAGTTGGTGGTAATTATACAGTTAATCATTATGTAATATTGCATCAAAATTGACAAAAAACTACCCATGCATTGTCATCACAAATGTTATGATAAAAAGAAAACTGTGTTATTTATAATTTTTTAACTTACAAGAACGATTTAGGATTGACATACAGCTCAAATAAGAAAACCCACTCTATAGGATTATCATTTATTATTGAATTAATGCAATTTTTGTGGAATTTTCATTTTTCTCATTCTGGCATTTTTAAGTGTTAACTTGAACTCTCATGGGCCTGAAGCCTTATGCTTTTACTTTAATTGGTATTATCTGTTGGGCATAATTAAATTATGATGTTGATTTTGCAGTTAAGCGTAACATATTATTGCATCAGAATTGACCATGTCCTATTCTGTGCATTATTCTTTTCTGCTTTTTGTCTGTACATATGACAGCTGTCTTGTTTGCTTTCTGTTTTTCCATTTGGATGCTTTGTTATCTTGTATACTACATTATTTGAAATATGTCAGAAAAGTACATATTGTTCAGTTTCTTAGCATTTTTCCAAGTATTGGAATACTTTCACTTTCCCATTCCCTTGAGCCACAACCAGGTCTCCATCCTGGTTGATGGTACATCCCCATGGATAATATAGTCCATCAGCTCTGGTTGCTATGTACTGGATGAACTTCCCATCTGGGGATACAAGGTGTATGCAGTGGTTATCGCGATCAGTGACCAGTATGTTGTCATATTCATCAACACAGACACCATCAGGTGTACCTAACTGATTATCAGGTCCTGTGTACTGATACAGTGGGTCACCAGATGGGGTTAGAATGTGAAGTTTGTTTGGTGATGTATCACTGACAACAAGGCACCCATTGCTCATATATGCCACTTTATATGGATAATTGAACAACTGCTTCCCATCTTTGTTCTTTATCACATCAGTTAAAGTTATTTTCCCTTTGATATCAATACTGAACACACTCACAGACTTTTCTTTCTTACCCTGTGCCACAGCAATCTTAGTGCAGCTGTTATTGAGAGCCACACCCCATGGGTTGCTGACATCTACAGTTTGCTGTACTTCCCACTGTGGTGACAGGATGAACAGTTTGTTATTGTCTGTATCAGATAGAACCATCCTTCCATCAGGGAAGTGACAGATCCCTGCTGGATGTTTCAACTGTGTGTCTGAGACACTTGTGAACTCTTGCCTTACTGTACCATCTGAACTACAAACCTTGACCTTGTTCTTCCAACCATGTGTAGTAACATACTCCCTGTTTGGACTCACTGAAATGTCCACTGTCACCTCAGGGCCAGTGTCAAACTCTAGCATACATACAGCCTGTGGTTTGAGCTTGGGCAAAGCTGGTTGTCTAGATATCCGCACATTCCCCAGGCCAGCCCCACTGGATATCTCTTGGTCCACTTCTGTGTTGGTGGTAAGTGTGAGTTTTAGTTCCTCTGGAATATCATCCACAGCTGAAGTGGACTGTAGCTCATCTAGTCTCTGTCCAAGTTGGTGTTGTAGCATGAGGACATCTATGGGGGCACCACGTTGAAGGATGTTCTTTACTACATCTGTTGTGGTTTTGATAGAGGAGCAAGTGGCACTGCAGTTTTTGCGGGAAATTTGTAAATTATTTCTTTGAGTGCTGGTGGTTTGATGAAGCTCCTGTAGTAAGGTTTTCTCTCGTTGATCTACCAGTTGACGTAGATGAGCTGCACGAGCTTTGATCTCCTGCTGAACAAAGCTTTCATTTTCTTGGAGGGTTCCCAATATTTCATCAATTTTATCTATTGTTTTCTCACCCTTTTCAAAGTTTTTCTCCATGCCACAGAATTTGGTCTGAAGTTTTGGTTTCACCATCTCTGCAGCTTTTTCAAGGGAGATAAGTTTGTGACCATCATGGTGTAGATCTTTGCAGTCACGACAAATGGGGACATTGCAGTCTGAACAAAAGTATCGTATCATCTCACCTTTGTGTTCTGGGCAGATAATCTTCTGCTGCTCTTGGATTTCTTTTTGATACTCACTGCTTTGAAGTTGTTGAAAAGTGAGTACTCTGTGATCTTTAGTGAGTGTGGTAGCACAGTGGAATGAAGAACACCTCTCACATAGGTAGTCATGGCAGGTGATACATTTTGAAGTAGCCACTGTTTCAGTTTGGGACAACAAAACACAAGAGCTGCACTTTTTCTTATGTGTTGGCTGAAGTACAGTGTCCTGCAAGCTTTCAATGAAGAAATTGTGAGTGAAGCCCTCAAGTCCATCTTTAGGAACTTCAGTCTCTTTCTGACACACAGGACACCGGAATTTACTTCCTGGTGTTGGGTTTGAAATGTAAGTCTTCAGACAATCTTTACAAAATGTATGCCTACATGGTAAATCTGTCGGGTCTTTGTACTCCTCAAGGCATAATGGACAGCTGACAAAATATTCAGTTATTTTGGCTCGTAGGCTTTCTTCTTCATCTCTGTCATCGCGAGCTGTAGCCATCTTGGGGGCGTGTAGCAAACTGTTCTATGTAGAGCAGTTATCTCTTTTCAGCAGTAAACTGGTGGGAGAGAATGAACTATGACTGTGTGTTCAGCAGAGTTATAACGATTATCTTATCAGTGACCCAGTTGTCTCTCGTCTGAGCCCACAACAGTTTGTTTTTGCATTTCACTATGTATTATGAATTAAGAAAAAAATATGTGTTTAGTTTTATTTTCATCAGTGAAGATGTTGGATTCTAGAGTAGGTAGTCAGTTCAGGTTGATGGATTCAGTGAGAGCTGTAAGGCCACACTTTTTTAATTTTATGGATGACATCCTGCGCGCGCACGGATTTTCGCCCGTTCTCAAAAAAAAAAAAAA